ATATTCATTTATTGAATGTTTGGGAAACAGAGTGAATATAAGACAATAGATAGAGCTATAGAGAGACAGAAAAAAGTAATATAGGAGAGAGACCCATACAAAGATTTTATCAAAATCAACAATGAATGAAAATAATGCATGTAGAATATAATATGCCTAGAGAAAATTGATAGTATATATAAATTTGTAAAAGTTCTTCTTGACTGGAAGTAATCAAGTGGATGGAATTAATAAATTACTGAATAATATTATTTTAGAATTTGAAAAATATTAAAATTTTTGAATATTTTTAAACATTTAAAATGATTTTGAAGTCCTACTTTTTGGCCATTAGCCAGACATTCCCAATACCATGACATTATGGTTTATGCATTCATGTTCCCTTAAAGCCTCATGCGCTCATAGGTGGGGCTTTTAGAAGACATCGGGTCATGGAGGTGTAACACCCATCAGTGAATTAATTTATAACTAAACATGATGTTGTGAGGTAAAAACTGCTCAGAGGAGGTGGGTCACTGAGGAACACAGCCTGGAAAGCTGTATCTCTATTTTTCCTCCCTTCATCTCTCTGCTTCCTGCTTCCATGCAGCTGCTTTCCCCTGCTTTATCTCTCTGCAGTGTCACCCTTCCTGGGTGCCACCCGGAACTCTGAACTTCAAACCTCTACACTCTTACCATTAGGATCTTATTCACAGTTAGAGTTTTTCACATAAGAGAAACAATTTAATATTTACACATGTGTGACTTTTCATTTCACTTAAGAGTACAACCTCAATATACATCCATTTTCCTATGAATGACTAAGTTCTTCTTCTTTATGGCAATGCAATGCCTATTGAAATTCCAGCAGGGTATTTCACAGAACTAGAAAAAAATAATCCAAAAATTCATTTGGAACCATAAGAAACCTAGAATAGCAAACGCCATCCTAGGCAACAGAGACATGGCAGCAGGTATAACAATGCCCAATTTGAAACTATACTATACTATACTGATAAAAACAGCATGGTACTGGCAAAGAAACAAATCTGAGGATCAGTGGAATAGATTGGAAGATACAGAAACAACTCCAGATGTACTCAGCTACCTCATCTTTGACAAAGGAGCCAACCATCCTCACTGGAGGAAAGATAGCCTCTTTAATAAATGGTGTTAGAAAAACTGGATTTCAACTTGCCAAAGATTAAAACTAGACCCTTATCTTTCACCATGCACTACACTAAAATCCAAGTGGATTAAAGATCTAAATATTAAAAAAGAGTCACTAAATTTGCTAGAAGATAAGTTAGGCAGAATTCTTGAAGACATTGGCATAGGAAAAAACTTTATGAGCAAATCCTTAGTAGCATGGGAACTAGCACAAAGAATCAACAACTGGGATCTCATCTTATTAAGAAGCTTCTGGGTCAGGTGTGGTGGCATGTGACTGTAATCCCAGAACTTGGGAGGCTGAGCCAGAAGGATCACTGTGAGTTCAAGACCATCCTGGGCTACGTAGTGAGTTCCAGGTCAGACTCAACTACATAGTTAGACCCTGTCTCAAAAAAACCCAAAAAAGCTCCTGCGCTGCAAAAGAAACCATCAACAGAACTAAGAGAGAACCTACAATGTGGGAAATAAGTTTTACCAGCTGCTCCTCAGACAAAGGACTACTATCAAGAATATATAAAGAACTCAAAACAATCAGGCCCCCCAAATATAAAGACCCAATTCAAAAATGGGCATCTGAAATGAACAGATATTTCTCAGACAAAGAAGTAGAAGCAGTAAGTAAATATATGAAAAAATGTTTCACATCACTGGTCATTCAAGAGATGCAGATGAAAACAACACCGAGATTCCACCTCACCACACGAAGAATGGCTGCTATCAAGAAATCAACCAATAACAAATGTTATGTGAGGAGAAAGGAACCCTTCTCCATTGTTGGTGGGAGTCTGCTGTACTTGAATATCATATGCTTGGATATTTATTCCTTGTTTTGTGGACAACTGAAATGTACCACAGTGTAAAATGTTTATGACGGTCATCTCAGGATCTTATTACAAGAAAAGAAAAAGAACTAAAGTAACAAGTTTGAAAAAGTTGAGGAAATGTCACCAACTCTGGTGGTATCCTTAAAGTTTATACATTGGTAGCTATATTTATCAATTTAAGTCTCTTTTACATTTTTAGTATGACATAGACCTTGAGTAGGTCATTAATGAAAAGATTATGGGAGATTACCAACAAAGTTCATTCATATTTTTAATTACTTATATTAACATTGTTTTAATGAGAACAGAGTGGTACACATTTGAATATACCTTTTGCACTTGAATGACATTAACCTTAAACTTCTAATATTTACATAAAAATTTTCCCATGTAAGTTATTATCTCTGCCCCTCCTTTATGAAGCCACTGAACAATTATTCAAGATATGGGATATGACCCTGATGATTGCCACCGAGAGGGTCGTTTATTAACATCACAGTGAGTGTTGATCTCCAAGTGTTGTGGATGAGAGTGAAACTTAGGACTATTTCATGAAACATTTCTATGCTATGATAGGAGTGAATGGGGCAAATTCACTTTCACTTCTACATCACATTTTTAGTTTATGAATGGCCACAGGGGTGGTTATATAGAGGTTGGGAGCAAAGCTCAAGAATAGCTGTTCTATGCCATTATACCCCCATACAGCCAACTGTATGAATCCACAGCTCGCTTACTTCAAACTCCATTCTAATCATTAATCTACTATCAGAAACTACGGTTTGTATAAAGATCATTCCAGATCGCTTCTCGGCCTTTTGGCTAAGATCAAGTATAAAGATCATTCCAGATAGTCTGATGCACTGATGAATCCTTTTTCTCTCCCAAAAAGTGCTGCCCACCATCTACAAAGTTACTGCACTGAGTTACTCATGATCTAACTTCTCATCCCAAGCTCTTGCTTACAAGGGGCCCTACCACCTAGCCCTCCGATTTGGGCGTGTGTTATTCAAATGTCCTATGTGTCCAAGACAGTTCACTTGCTGCTTGTCACGCACAGAAGGATACATGTATGCAAAATTAGTAACTTGCTATTTGGGGAATTTCTGTATTGCTAGAGATATGTTTTGTTCACTACTCTGCATATCTGTTATTTTCAACACAGACTTCTCAGCCTCACAGCAGTTGTGATTGGTACCCTCAATGATATCCTTTTCCATCTACCCCATCATCATACCTCAAAAACAATTCCACCGATACACAGATTGTCCACGAATATCTGGATAAAAAACAGATCACCATAAATAAATTCCAATGAGAGGCCTTTTGGTTTTATCCTAGGACACAGGTCCTACCATGCTGCGAGCTAGAGAATTTCCACACAAGAGAACCTTCGAAGTCTCTAGTTGACCATCCTGTTCTTCTGCTGATGGCTTCATTCCTTCCTTTCCTGCTCCCTCAAAAATCTCACTTTCCATTTTATCTCTAAATAAATAGGATTAGCATACAGAGAATAACAGTCAAAAATCCCAGATATAGCACCCAATCAACAGTTAAGAACCTAAAATCAGTGTTGTTTTTACTCTCATATCTGCAACATATTAACTGTATGACTAAAAAGTAACTTAGCTGAATAAAACCTCCTGATATTTAGAATCGATACAACAATAAATAAAATATAGTATGTGATTTTTGTTGGAGTGAAAGAAGTATTCACAGCACAGTACAATATATCATAAGCACTCAGTAAGTTTTGACAATATTTAATATTGTTATTGAAAGAAATGTAAAAGTAACCCAGTGAATTATTATTGCAATGCTTGAGAAATGTTATTGACCAACCGGTAAGCAAGCCACAGGAAATCTTGGTTCAGCTCTATTTTCGTTTGAGGGTATGGAAGGAGTGTCTGCACAACTATCTTAATAACACACATGTAAGCTACAGCCACAGCTCGGGCCTCAGGAGCCCTCTGG